ACGAAAAGGGCGATACTCCACGAGTATGCCAAACAAGATCTCAAGAGATCAAGTTGTGTTTTTATTATTCTCTTAATTTATCAAGCTTCTCGACCAAGCCAATGCTAGCTCGAGTTGCAAGGTTGGCTAAGAGAATTGGGCGTCCCTATAAGTCGAGGAGGTTCACTCTGCTCGACAACACGACACGCACGAAAACATGGCATGCACTCATAAACAAGTATATTTTGTTGATGAGATTCACTCCAATCGACTTTAAAAATCAAGTTTTATGCAAGGTTTGAGTAGAGGAGAGCGAGTGTGATAAAGTACATACTCGTCTCGTCAAGTGATATTCACGTATATAACAGATAAATCAAGTAAACACAACAAGTCATGCACTTGACACTCACCGATTCAAAATAAATGAGCAAACAAAGCTTTAGGTGTCCGCACCGAGATTCCCTTCGAAATCTCCTTGAGCACTTGAACAATTAACAAGTATTTTTCACTCACAATCACGTATTAATCAAGAAAGGAGTTACACTCATTTAGACTAGTCAATCCCTCAAATCAAGAACTTTAGCCACTCAAAATAAAGGTTCAAAAGTGAGGTCTTATTAACACAAGAAAAACTGATTTCCTTCATGAAATCGAGTTTAAAATGATCAATCATTATCAAAGGGTAGCGAAAAGTTTTCCAAAAACTCATTTCTCCTCAAGTTCGAAAATTTCAGTTTCAAGAAGCAATATTTGAAAAATCTTATCTTGCACTCCTTAGGTCCAAAATTGGAAAATTTAATACCGTTGAAAACTACTTCCAAGGTACTAAAAGTTCCTAGAAGACACTTTTCCATGATTCAAAATACAAGACACTCAAATTTTGGCTTCAAGTTGCTGATTTGGACTACCAAGACAGTTCCGGGGTTGATTTTTGGCAAACTTTGAAAATTTGACAAAATTCACACAATGCAAACTAGTCTCTCAAATTTGAAAATCGATTAGAGTTACAATCAAGGTTTAAAAAAAAATAAATGGAACAAAAATAGGAGTTTTAAGTACCAAGATATAGCAGTTCAAAGTTGGTTCAAAATGAAGACCATTGGGCAATTTTTCAGATTTGAAACACAAACTTTGGGACTTTAGTTGAGCATCGAAATGGACTTGGAATGACACCAAATTTGGTAGTATTACCCTACCATATAAGGGCTATTCCTTTGTCAAATTTCATGCAAAAATTCATATGGGAAGTCAGTTAACAAAACCATTAAAGTTTCAAAAATTTCCAAGGCAAATCTGCCTTGTACTTTCGTTTTCCTTTTTCTAACTTTTGGCCGAATGAAATCGACTCAAATCTGGTTCATTTATGAAGACAAGGTTTAAGAAACATCCAAAATATATTTGGTGGGTAATTAACACCAAGAGTTTCAAAATAACAAGTCCCAATTCAAAATGAGCCATTGATCAGCCTAATTTTTCGGATTTTCAATCACTAATGCAGTTCTGAAATTTGACCACAACTCATTCAATTAAACTTGGAATTGGGTGTGGTTAGTGGCATTGGAAACTACATTCATAAGGCTATAATTTCTTAGAAGAAATCATTTTAAAATTCTATCCGTAACTAGCTCATATTCAAGCAACAAGTTCCAGCACATAATAGGTTCTCTAACACAGCCGAGAAACAGGATAGGTGATTTTAAAAGGATGGTACGGTTCACTCAAGTGGGATCAGAGGATGCATTTTATACCGTTGGAAAACTAGAAGTGTCTAGTTTCTAATGCCACAAACAGCACTCAATTTTGATATCGGAGCAAAAGGTTATGGTCGATATAAAATCACTGCCAGAGCACTCTGGACACACGTTTCCAGTTTTGGTAGAATTTCAAAATCTCAACATTTACCCATCCAAATCACGAAATTTTTTGTGAAAACTTTCCACACAACCTATACAACATATCTATATAAAAATCAAGTCAATTGGACCATAAAAACTTGCACCAACAGGTGTAGAAAAGTAGGGGCAGAATCGGCACTTTTTCTCCTTTTGTTTCCTTTGAGTTTTCCTTTCACCATTCAACTTATAATCACTTGTTTAACCACTAATTCAACATAAACAACACCAAATATCATCACAGTAGTTCATCGAGTCCATTGTGGGATTTCATAGAGCCCACTTACAAGATTTCCAACAATATAAAACTACCCACATGAATTTATAAGCTTACAAGTGCAATATAACTTCCATAAACTAAGATTCAAGGACTTGATTGTTATTACCTCCTAGATGTAGCTAGAGCAGAATTTTTCGGTCCTTTGAAACTCAAGAAAATCGTGAAAAACAAGCTCCTTTCCTAGTTTAAGTTGATCTCCAAGTGGTTTGCAAGTTGTAGTAAAATTTTGAGGTGATTTGGATGAGAAATGAGTGAGTTGTTGAAGAGGTTTTTGTTGTCTTCTTCCTTCTTGGCAGCCGGCTGCTTGAGGGTGTGAGAGAGAGAGTGTTTTGCTGAAATGAAGATTCCTTGAGAAGTTTAAGTGTGTGGCTCAAAATACTCTAAAAGTCAACTCTCCCTCCGCGCGCGCGCGTGTTTCGTGCTCGATTCTTCTCGAGTTTGTTTCACTTGTGTATTAAACCATTAATGCACTTCCATTCATACTATTATTATTCACTCTTACTAGTCAAAAAATAAAGATCTAATATCCCTCAAATAATTGCGCGCGTGAAAACGCGTACTTCCGATTTGCGCGCGATAAAGCGAAATTTTTAAGGAATTCTTATAACGATAGTATGACTAACTAATACTTGGGTACTTAAACGTAAAAATACCTATTTTAAGACTAATATGTAAGTCTTCAATTTGCAAGCTCATTATACCTTTGAATCGATTATTATCTCCAAACGCGTATTCACTATTATCACTAAACGAGTTTTCAAAAATTAAATTTTGTAACAAGTTATTTTAAAAATACATGTAAGCCATAGTTCCATATATTTGGGTCTAAAAAGGTTGGAATAAAATATTCGGAGTAAATGACCAATTAAATATTTAAATAAACTAGAAATAGGGATTTAAAATAAGTAAATTTGCGAGTCCTCACAATCATTACATTTACACAATTCAAGACATAAATCTCATTTTAAAGACATAAGTTACACTTTTGAATGGTTTTATTTGTAACTAAAAATTTATTGAACAATTTGTAATTTATTGTGTTTGAATTCAAAATAAACATGTGATTTTTTTTATTAAAATATCCAACACTATTACTAGTCAAATTAGCTCCTACAACCAAAAATCCCAACTTTTTATTATTCAACTTTGGAGCTTCCAATTTGCTAGGCGCTTTTTACTAGGTAAAAAAAATAAAAAAAGAGTCGATTTTTTTCCAACAATACAGAGGCTATGACAATTGTCAATTCTCTCCCACAAACCTGAACTCACAAAAACATGTGAAACCATCCTAAATACAAGGTCATGTGATTTGGTTTCTTTTTTCAAATTCTTAATTAGCGAGCAGCAGGCAGAGGCAATAATACCATGGTTAATGTCTTCCGTTCTTGACTTCATTGAGGATAGCTTAAGGAGAATTGGGGGAAAGTTGGAGTGACTAAAGGTGCATTGGATAAAACTGAAATTTGAAAATTGAAGTTTGAAATTTGAAATTTGAATTTTGAATCCATTAAATTATTGAATTGTTAAGTATTAAATCTTATCAGTGATAAGTGAATAACTTATCAATTAATTTTGGGACCAAGTTTTACTTAGAAAATTCAGTGTTATTTAATCAATTCAGATGTTCAATTTTTTATAATTAAACGGTCTGAATATGTTAATATTTGAATCCATTAAATTTAAGCGCTGAATTGGATTATCAAATAGGGCTTACGAGTGATTTGAAATGATAGGTTGCTTGGAATGATTTGAAATTCACCCACTCACGCAGTTCAAACACATCCTATTTGTTTTTTGATTTTAAATCCAAACTAGAATTTTGCTCGTACCTTACCACGGTCTTTTTATTTATTTATTGTGAATTTATACAAATATGAATAATTTAATTACGAAAATTAAAACAATCCTACATGTTCATTCATATTAATTTAAAAAATGAATGCACTCTAAATGTTCAATTATTTACTAATTTTAAAAATTTGTTTACATACTTTCACTATAATATGATAGTATATATCAAATAATGTATCACCTATCAAAAACTTGGTAGATACTTTTTTTTTTTATAAATATTATTTTAGATAATTTAAATTTTTATAATGACCATAAACCTAGAAATATATATTGACATTTAATTAAGTAGAAAAGATCCAGCAATCCACTTTTTTCATCAATAAATATTTAGTTGCCAATAATATTGATAATTCTATCAGTGTAATAATTAATTCTCTTTCTTATACTAAGTTAATTCAAAATTAAGGGATGAGATGATGAACAATTGAAATATTAATCAACAATAAGGTGATGAAAATAGGTAGTTTATGAAATATGTAAGATTTTAATAATTGTAATTGGAAAAATATTTTACTATAGTTCTATGTAAAAATTTGATAGAAAATAGATATCATTAAGATAAGATTATTTATTTTTAATTATTTTAAAATTAGAGATAATTTTTAAACATATAAGATAATATTCAATATGGGTAAAATTTAAATGATATATAACCCGTTAATTTTCTTTAATTAGGCATGTCACATAACAGTAAAAAATACACACTCTAATTAAAATAGTTACTTATATATATATATATATATATTTATATTTATATTTATATAGAGTAAGGATTTGAAATCGAAATCCACCCAAATCCCTGAATCCAAGCTCACACTAATGCAATTGTATAATTTTCTGTATTATTTTTCCCTTGTACTTCTCCACCCCCTGGAAAAAAAAAAAAAAAAACTCTCTGCGGCCAATGATTCTACAAAGACTTGGGAGAATATCTCAATTAATTGAAATGTAAAGGGCTATAAGCATAATTTCCCTTCAATCATTAGTTCCACAACAAGGCCACAATTTTGAATTGAAATCCATAAGGAAGAGAAAGGAGAGAGAAAGCGAAAGAGAGGGTATGGATAGCTGTTTTCATTTTTCTTGGATGTTCTACCCAAGTAAATCTAAAACCCTAAATTATTCGCTTTCTCTTCCTCTCGAATCAAATAGGTTCCTGTAAACAGTTACTTCTTTGAAGCTGGAACCATCTACTTGAGGGAGAAAATGAGCAGCAGAAAGGAAGAAGAGCGAAATGAGAAGATAATAAGAGGCCTCATGAAGCTCCCACCCAATCGCCGATGTATTAACTGCAACAGCTTGGTATTTTTTTTTTGTTTATTTGATTTAGTTTTTTACTTTATTGCTAAATTGATCCTTCCAATTTCGTTTTATCACTGCAGGATTTGCTGCTTGAAAAAGAATTTCATTTCTACACTATGAAAATGATAAATTCTGTAATTTTTTTGGCTTTATCTAAACGGAGAATTGTTTCTTTTCCTTTTTTTTTTCCAATCGTTGGTTAAAATTTTAAATTTATTGATGTTAACAAAAGGTTTTGCTCATGGTAGTAGTTTCCGTTGAGAAATTAAATCAGGAATGGCAAAGAAAAATGGGTATTCCTTTGAAAGCCAGTACTACGAATATTTCCTTTGAAAAATGGGTGCGTTTGATAGTTTAGAGTTATGGCTTTGATATTTGGTATTTGTTTTCTAATGTGCGTGCACATGCTCATTTGGCAGGGTCCTCAATATGTCTGTACAAATTTCTGGACATTTGTCTGCATGACTTGCAGTGGAATACAGTGAGTTTTTTTATCTTCATTTTTATTGGAGATTTTGTTGGTTGCATAACGGATTTTTTTTATGAATGTTATTTTTCGTAGGTAAACTTATTAATTGTTACTTTCGTTGTGGAAATGGTGCTCTGAGTTCAGTTTTAGTTATTTAATTCAGAATTTAACTACTTGCATGATGGCAATATGGAAGAAATGACTGTGTTTCTTCAGATCCTTATGGATAGATAAACACAAGAAAGTGGTGATCTCATTTTTTCGTTTTGGTTTGTTTACTTTAGAATTAGTTGATGTGACAGATTTAGGAAGTATTTGAATGTCTCGATGGGTTTTGGGCTCTTTATGGGTCCACAAGGTGCCCTTAACCACTGCTGTTTTATCCTCAACGCATGAGTAGGCTACTGTCACCCTTAGTTTGAGGATAGAAAAAATTCTGCTTCATTTCTCTTCTTCAATTTCTCAAAAGGTGCTGTTAATCACTATGCTTTATGTTCAAAGCGTGGGGTAGGCTGCTGTCATCCTTAGTTTGAGAGCAGAAAAAAATTCTTTGACTTTTCTGTTCTTCAAATTCTCAAATGGGCTGAGAACGTGTTTGTAAACATACATTTACATTTCAGTGGTCTGCTTGAAGGAAAGGGGGGGGGGGAGGCTGAAATCAAACCAGTGCCTACATGTATGTGTATGTGTAAATGAATGACAGAAGGTATAAATGTCTATTTATTATGTACGTGAAGGAATGTATCAGATGTCCTTGCTCACTAGTGGTGTTTGTAATTTGGCTGAACTTTGGAGTTGATTTCTGATTTGGACTGGGAGTTAGAAATGGTGAAGCCTTGATTTAAATTCTAACAAAAAATCAATTTGCAAACTGTGATGTATTTGATTCTGTAGCTGGAATGTTGGACCATTAATCACTGTCTATTAGGTTTGGGAGGAAGCTACTGCTTGAGCATCTCATGAATTGAATAGACTGACCAACTTTGACCTTGATTTAATCATGCTGACAACTATGAGAAGTAAGGACCTAGGTTTGGACAAATTTTTGTATCTTCACTTTTGAGAGTTCTCATGTTGTGGCTCTGATATGTAATCTTAATTAAAGCAGGTTTCTACGCATCTGAAATGAAATATCAAATTTTGTGCAAGTATTTGCTGCAAATACATATGTGTGGTCTTTGCATTATGCTTTGGATTTAATTTACTTGGTTATTCAAAAATTTTTTTTTTCTCTTAATTCTGTATGGTTGTTTCTCTCTCTCTCTCTCTTGCCTCCAAACTTTTTGAAGCTGTGATATTTTGACATTTCAAGAGAAATTGTGTTAAACTCAGTTTGGGGAGTGATTTTTGTGGCTTTACCAATCGATTTCGATAGTAACTTCTTTTTTGTACTTGATTCTTTTGATCATTCAGATTTTAGATTACACATTGCGGCTTATAGTTCTTTACAGATGACTAAATCTCATAATCTTTTATTCATTTTAGTCTAACATTTCCAAGCCTTCTCTAGATGTACAGGTTGCTACCACATTTCCTAATTAACTTTTTTTATGAATAGCTCCAAAGGATAAATTCTAAGTAGGATAATATTTGGTGCAGCCGTGAGTTTACTCACCGTGTGAAGTCTGTATCGATGGCTAAGTTCACTTTCCAAGAAGTGGAAGCTCTTCAAAATGGTGGTAATCAGGTAAATATTGTTTGTTATTCTTTTATTAACTGCTTGTTCTCATACTTTGTAGTGAGATAATACTCTTTCAGCGTGCTAGAGAGATTTATTTGAAACATTGGGATTCACAAAGGCAGAGACTTCCTGACAATAGGTTTGAGATCTGGACTGCTTACATCATTCTCTTTTCCTTCTTCTTTCAAATTAACATATGCCTATAACTTATAAATACAGTAAAAAGAACTGAAGGTTAGCAGAAATTTAATGAAAACTCTGTTTTGATCTTGCAGTAATGCGGAAAAAGTTCGCGAGTTCATAAGGAACGTATATGTGATGAAAAAGTATGTTGGGGGAGGGTCATTTGACAGGCCTCCTAGAGACTCACAGGTAATCATCCAGCTTATATATGCTTCACAGACTTCAAGGTAAAAGAGAGGTGAAGCAACCAGAAGCATTATCTTCTAATGAGCCTGAGTGCAGTTTAACATGATGGTCATCCTTCCATATGCCACTTGTCAGATTGCTCGAAGCCATGAAGATGAAACAAGGCGAGCAAGTTCTTATCATTCGTATTCCCAGAGTCCACCATATGATTTTCAGTACGAAGAAAGACAATATGGGAGGCATGCACCAGTTCTTACTAGAAAGCCTGGTTCAGATCGAGGTCTTTATGAAGGAAAAGTCTCAAGTTTCCTGAGTCCTAGTCGACTGAGTGATCGTAGTCCTAGCCGTTTAAGTGATCATATATACGAGGATAGGTTTGGATTTGGACGGTCTAACTCCAGAGTTTCAGACTATTCATCTAGTGCACAATCGCCTAATTTCCAGAAGGACATCGGAAGCCCGTCTAGTGAAACATCAAGAGAATTTTGTGGTGAAGATATTGCGCATAATGCAGCCAACCGATATCCAGATTCATATGCCAATAGAGGTTCTGGACAAATGTTATATCCGCAGGTTATTCTTCTTGATTATCTATGCTGCCGGCCAAAATATAAGCTGCCTGGTTTGTCTAGGTTCTAAGTACTACAACGTTGTTGTGTCAGGTTTTCTGCGAGCAGTACCATTAGATTCAATGCTTTATGCTACATGTCAAAAGAACTGAAGTTTAGCGTTCAGTGATCTTGCATGCTGATAATACACATTTGGAAGTAAGAGGCCTATTGCTCTCCCAAATTTATAAAAATGATGGTCTGTCATCATATAAAGAATTTGATGCCTGCAACTGGCCTAATGTTTTTATGGTCATAAAACTAGTATTTATGCTCATAAATATTTTTGTCAAATTATCTCAATTGCATTTTCTTTACTTTTCTTTCACTTTTTCCCTATTTCCCTGGAATTTCTTTTAGTTAGTGTACTTGTTTGGGCTTGTAGTTAACAGAGCGGCATCCGAGCTTAGGTTTGCTGTGGGTTCTTTTTTTTTCTTATCAGTTCAAATAGATGATGGAATCCACTTTGCAAGCCATTTTATGTTTGCTTAAACATTTCTTTTTTAGTTATAAAATGAATTGGGGGTGGGGGTGGGGGAGGAGGAAACATGGGACTCAAATTTTTGTTTACTAGTTATATAGTCCCACACATCACTTGTCCTTAGTCTAAGCATTTATTGTTTTACTGTGGAGGTGGCTTTTCAGTATTGAGTAAATTAAATTTAGTGTTTTTCTGTTGTTGATTTCTTTAGACAGAGTATGGAATAATCAAAGTGAGAAACTATAATCCAAGAACAGACATGGCCTTAATTCTTAGATAGAGATTTGATACTTGGTGAATTACCTTCTGAGTTTTATTGCAAATAGCCAAATAGGGACAAAGATGATAGTGTCCAGGGTTGAAAAGGTCTAAAGATGGTGGGATGCATTGCTCAAGGGAGAATAGAAAGTACTAGCATTTGTAAGAGATTTGTCATGACAAACTGTTTGCAAGTGCCTATCTGGGTGTTCTTTCTATGCCTTGTATTCTTTAAATATTAAACCTCAGTGCCTAATGCTAAACCGCTAACCGTGAAATATGCATTTTAGCAACTCTGAAGAGGTTTTGTTGCTAGCATTTTGCGACAAATTTTCAAATAGTTACATTGAACATCCATTTTTTTGTGTTAAAGATGTCGAGGAGAGCATGACACCCTGCCATTCTGAATTAGTATGGGCCTCATGTAGGTTCTAAAATAACAATTCTGCCAACAAGAAATTCTTTGAGTTTGCCTTTGATACCAACACATCTGACACATACTCACAAGTGGATGCAAACACATGCTTTGTTGCTTCCAGTACTATGAGTTTGATCCTAATGTCTTTAAGCTGATCGACTATATAATGCTGTTACATTCAGAGAACTGCTTCTTCTGAAAGTATTGGGTCACTGGATAGCAATTCCTTGTCTTTCAAGACTTCTGTTGGAGCAGCTGATGTTGGCTCTGAAGCTGAACAATCTGTTGAGGCTCGTAGCAAGAAAATACCAACTTTAACCTCTTTACCCCAAACATCAGCTCAGGGGAACCATGATAGCTTGGACCTTTTCACTGCACCATTTGCACTACAAAATGTTACTTCTATAGCTTTAGCTGGTAGTACATCTAATTTGCCAGGATTGTCATCCACCCAAAGTATTGATCCATTTGGGACTTCTTGTTTGTCAACTGCTTCAAATATTGATATGCAGCAATTACCAAAACCTAATCAATCCTCATCTATGGACTTGTTCTCCGAGATACCTCAGCAGCCGCCAGCTGCCAGTCTTGATGATAAATCTCTAAAAGTTATCCCTCAAAATGAAGGATGGGCAACATTTGACACACCTCAGCATTCAGCACCAGTGGGCAATGTGAATTCTGCGGTTTTGGAAGTGCCTTCTTCTGATAAAAATCCTGGGCAGAGCTTTAACCCGCTTCTATCCTTAAACCAGTGGCCTTCTTTTGAAAATAATTCTTCCAATGGGCCTTCTTCATCAATGCCTCCATGGGGTGCAGCTCAGCAAATTGTTGCAGCCAAGCCTAGAATTGAGGTAAGCAACTGCCGATTAATACAATGTAGGGCCATTAGGTATTTATTGGGCAATTTTTTTCTCTATTGATTTAATTACATGAGACTGTATGTTGAAGAAGTCTGTGTTTGGTTACTATTTTGTTCTGCAGCCATGGAATGCTTTTGAAGAATCTTATGGGCAATTAGTAAAGAGAAGTAGTGAACAAGTAGTAAATCAATCTTCATTTGCAGAACAGTATTTGTATAGAGAATCAGAGGTTGGTCCATCTTGTGCCTTTGTATGATTGTTTCCATCTTATGCCTTTGCATCATGGTTTCTGATGCTTTTCTTCCATTCATTCAATTGTCTAACTCGGCAGGGCTTCAACCATGGTGAAATTCCGACTGTTGGAAGGGATACTTTACCTCCAATAGCTACTGTATCATCAGAAATGAGTCTGTCACAACATCAACATGATGCACCAATCCCTCCTGCAATGGTTTGTCCTTTTGCTATTTTATTGGTTTTGCAATGTTGGCACTGCAGTTGCTTCTGAACTGAACAGTTTCTTTTCTCATAGTAAGTTTTCCTATATTACACAGGGAGGACATTCACATGCACTTAGCCCAAAGTCTACCAATCCATTTGATCTTCCTTATGATGCTAAAATAGAAAGCGAAAACATGGTATGATGCCTCTCTAAGTTTACACCATGGATAATTGCAGTTTTTGCTATTTTGCATTTCTGGGTCAATGAGTTTCCTTTGCCCTTACAATCTAATGGGACAATAGATGAGGTATCTGAAAGATCGGTGGAATGGCTGCCTTTTGTTAGCATCTAAGACCAATTGCTGTCTTCTTCGTGTGCAAAAGATGATTTGACAGTTTCATTATGTTTGCTACTAGGATCTCAGTTGTATCACTCCAGAATGTCAACTATGTTAAAGTGATTCAACTGTGGTAGTTACTACTGATGTCACCTTGTTTTACCGCTATGCATTGCATCATGTGCCGAAAGCGTCATGCCTTCATCAAATTAAGCCATTTTATCAATATGCTATCTCTTTCTGCTTATTTAAGAAATGACAGAAGACTAAAGTGTGTTGAAGCCATATGTTGGTGTATGAAGCAGTTGCATGTGTGAATTCTGTTCAGGTGACCTTCAAGAAATAAGTAGACTTGAAGAAGAGAACTTTCCGACTTCCGTCTAAAAGAATTGCTACGTTACTTTTGAAGATACTACTTACAGGATATCGGTTTAGCTTTTTCCATTGGCTGTAGTTAAATGTGTTTTTTGTTGTAGGGGTTAAATCGGACATAATATGATAAGTTTTCATACTCATCTTAGTTTTGCAGATTGCTGTGTTTGTTGTTTGTTTGTTTGCTTGTTTTCTTGTATGCTTGTCTATTATCTACTTGTTATTTGGCAAGTCTTGGAAAGTTCCTGGATGCACTGATTAAACCGAACTATTTTCCCTCTGAAATGAGATACTCAGATATGGAGTGAATTGCTGGCGTCCAGAAGAGATTTTGTTCTTTTGTGGAAGTAAATGATTAAGTTTTCTTGCCTTTAAGAATTGATAAGTAGATAAACTCATTGAAGGGAAACTATGCAGTGCTTCCTGAATCATATTCATCTTTTGACTTATGCATTCAATAATCTTATACTCATGTTGCACTCTGGATCCTTTAATATGTTCGGGCATATTGATTTGTGGTTAACTTCTATGTTCTGCAACGCTTGGCATTGCACAAGAATTCTAACTAGGGCTATTATGTTATATTTGTTTTGTCTGTGGGGATCAAATATTAAAAGCTGGCTGTTCTGAAAATATTTGGATAGGTTAGATGGGCCAATGGCCCATTAAGTACAAACTAGGCACTGGCATTGCAGTACCAGCTGCATCTCGACATAAAGAGGCCTTTTAATGTCAATGGTGGTTTGCTATAGACTATCCCTCCTGGGCCTCATTTTAGTGCCAATTTATCCAGATTTACCAGATTATCTGCACAGGAATTGCTTCTCCAAGCGTGTTGTAGGATACAACCCTACTGTTTCCCCGCTTTGCTTTTTACTTTCTGAATAAAATTGGAGAGCTGTTTTCATTGACTTCTCTTGCTGGGGGATCACCACTTAAATGAAGTCTAATTCCCAGATGATATTTCCCTCTCCCATATGTCAAGCTAATTTTAGGCCATAAAGCATCGGCTGCCCACTGTTCTGCTGCTAAACTGCTGAATTTTCTGTGTTCGCACTTAACCAGTCTGCCAGCATACTGATCATGCTATTAAGAGGTCTGCTGCGCTAGCTGGTCCTGGATTCCCAGCCTAGGCTCCATCCACATTAATTTTTGTCTGCTCGTTTTGAACTGATGCATTTCATTTCTTTGGTCCTCTGTCCACTTTTGTTAGCCATCAGATTCTATCCTGCACTATTTGTGCGATAAGGTTGTCCAACCTTCCTTGCATCTTCCCTTCATGCCCTGAGTTGACAAAACTGGCCTGTCATTTCAACACTTGTCCACACGAGAATCATTTGCACTACAACAGCTTGCTCTGTTAGATTTAGAAATGCAGCAACTATTAGAATATTGTCGATTGTTAGAAATGCAGCCTTGTTCTGGCGGATTATTTCAGTCGAATTTATACTCTGATTTTGAAAGATCTGTTTACTTATTGTTCATGTTTGGATTTGTCCCTAGATTTTTTTATTTTTCAATAGGCAAAGAAGCTAAAATCTGGAATCTACCCAAGAGTAGCTTTTACTGGTTCTTATTAATTAGCTTTTTGCAAAATCTACAGCAATCGAGAACATCCCCAAAGTCTGCTTCTCATAATTAGCTTTTTTTCAGCTAATCATGAGCTAAAATCAGAAGCCAAAATCAAATGCGAACACCTTAAAGTAGCTTGTGGCTTATAAAAACCTATAATCATCTGATTTTAGGGAAAGGAGAAAGAGCTGTTAGTAGGTGTAGAATAAAAGCTGAAATTTAATTAAACATGCATAGGCAAATCGAGGCAGTGGAAGGGCACACTGAAACGTGAAAGAAATGGACACGTGCTATGGAATATAAAGTAGGTTTATGCTTGTCTCTGGCATAAGCATCTTCAATCACAGTCGTGTCAAGGTTGATTCCTCAAAAGCATATACACTCTAATCCGCCCTGTTTTTTGTAGCTTTTATCTATCTGCTTTCTCCCAATTTGAAGTAACTAACATAGAAGGCTGCTTCTCTTCAAAGATAGGGAAGAAAATTCCTTACAAGCTCCTTAAAATTTTTGGACTTGAAATCCTTAAGCCACAGATGTCTTTGCACTTCTTTCAATTCACTACACCAGGTAGGGGAGTGTTTGAAGTACCCATGATATTCAGAATTAAGTCTTATTCATTCACAGGTTTTAGTAACTTTTGTAATCCTTAAGCGATGCATGCTCTTCATGAATCATTATTGGTCACTTGCCTAACTCTTTGGTTCACTGCTGGAGGTCAGTTGCCTTAGCAGGGGAGAATGAGACAGCTTATTTTCAATGGAATCTACTCATGGTACCCTTGGGATTTATTTAACAACTTAAAATGCTTTATATTTTATAGGAGCAGAGAACTGTTCCCAGCAAATTTTGAGTTGGTACTCAATTATGAGTTTGAGAATAATGCACAAAATGGTTCGACAATTAATCAAACTTTTCTTTAGAGTGCTGCTGTGTTGTTTCCTTTATTCTCTATCACTTATTTTTTCCTTTTTGCTTTCCATGGCCCTTTATATTTCACAACTTGTAAAATCAAATTATATACTGGATGTTGTCCTACTAATGCTGATAATGTTGACAGATATAGTGGGAATTTATTGTTTTTGTTTTGGTTGGGGAGCTATGATTGCTAAAGGACATTTTCAGTTTCATGTATAGTTGCATATTACAACTCTGTGATAGTGTTGTCTGGGCTTTCTAACTTGAAGATCCTATGTGCTCAGTCCGACTTCTGGGATGTTAGCTCTTTGCAAGCTGCACTGCCAAATGGCCAGATGTCAACTCCCTTCACTGCTGGTGCAAATGAGCACTGGTTTGCTCAAGAACCAATGGTTTCCTATGTTCCTGCTGGTTCAGATGGTGAGTAAAATTTCATCTTTCTCATTATTATAATTGGAAAGTGGACTCTGCTCCATCTGACTCTCCTGGGATTTCCAGGTGCCTTAGGGTTCTTGGTAGGGCAGGCACCAAGCACACAAATGTCGTAAGTATTTTTCTTTTTTATTGTCTTCTGGACATCAACATTCATGATTCGCAAATGCATTTTGGGAATGTTCATATTTGAAATCCTGAAAAGAACTGCCCAGTGCGTGATGTTGCAGTTCTATTTACACTATGAAAGCATCAGAAAATTTGTCAAGAGTCCATTTCCGTTACTTTATATCTTGATGTTTGGAGAAGTGAAATTTTGTTTTGCCATGGGAATGAAGAGATAGCTTTCATGGTTTTGGTACCTATTCTTATCTGATTTTCCTCGAGAAAGGTTTTCTTTCTCTTTCTTGAGGGAAGAAAGGTTAATGTTGTTAATGAACTTTATTAGCATTAATTGGAAATTTACAATTTGCTTTCTCATCACATTGCGTACTAAAATAAATAATTAAATAAATAAAAATGCTTCAAGGTCTGCATTTACTTGTCCTTTGTGAATCAATAGCTTGAGTATGCTGATTATTAATAGGGAAAGTTTAGCTTGTAGTTCTTAGATTACTTATATTAAGCAAAACAGGAAGTGTTTTGGGGGAGGAGAAGAAGGATTTGGATTCAAGGTGTGTGGTATCCTAATGCATGTGCTGCTAGAACCATTTGGTGTAATTTGTTTTTGGTCCTGACAATGTTGTCTTGAAAAGGTTGGCTTCAGAATATTCAAAATCCTGATGCTCCTGTCATTTATTCCAAAATTGAGATGTATTGCCTTCACTCTCGCAACGGAGGCCAGCTAAAATCAGCCTTTTCTTTGGCAGGAATGTCCCATCTCATGGTCCTGTTGCGTCTGTTGGAGGCAATCCTTTTGCCTAGTAGACTCTGGCATAGCCATTCAATTTGATCAAGGTTTAGTGGTTGCTCGTGTTTTCTATTCTTGGCAGGAGTTATGGGTTAAAGGCTGTATTCTTAGGCTATATACTGTACGGATATTCATGTTTGTAGTCATTACCAAATAAGAAGTGCAGTAGACAATTTATAGCAGACCGGGTAAAGACTTCCTGTGCATCATAGCCCAAAGTATATATTCAGAAAATTGGAGGTTGTGGGCTGCTTGGCTGTATTCAGCTGTGTCAGTATGACGTTGCAGGTTCTACAGTGTAAAGCTCGTGCTTTTTTACTTTCTCTGTTTTTCTAACGTTTAAGTAGCTGCTTGTTATTCGTTCTGTGCTTGTTCCTGAAATAGAATGGCATGACAACCGGTGTTGCCTCTCTCCTGCACCAACTATGAAACTCACAACATTGGTATTAGAGAATTTATATCAGCATATGTGATTGCTATCTGTCCTCAATTTATCATTGCATGAGTTCATTAGGGAAGTTTGAACTTGTTCTCAAGAATTTTGTTGGAGAATACGATTCTTGTTCTGTTTCATCACGCATGACTTGTTTTGTCGTTTAACTCGGACTTGTATACTTTCCCACAGAATCGGGTTTAGTATTGTGTCGATCAGTCTTGTGCGAGTTGGAATCAATAATGTTTTAAGGTTGATGTAGGTTTTTTGGTTGATCTAATTAGTTTCGAGTTTGGTCCATAAACAGTGGTGGAGCCAAGAATTTGATGTAGGGGGCGAAACTAATTATGAGTGTGAACTTTAATTTAAACGTGGAATGGATCAAGATTTAATGTTTTTTCTTAGTTGATTTTCGGGAGCAGATTACATTTGGGTAATGTTTTCTATTTGAAGTAGCTTTAGATTTCTGGACATTCTTGGACGTGGAAACTTCAAAGTTTTCCAACTCGGACTTGTTTTAATTTTTCTCTTCTTGAAGAATGAATGGGAGAATTGTAATTTTGGTTTCTAATCTATCACCCCATACGTGATGCGTGGATCTAGTCTCTAATTTATTTTGCAAAGTAAATGTAGTCCATAATATATTCTATTTTGAACAAAAAGGGGCAATTGACAGATTCCTTCTAATTTCTAATGGAATGATGGCATGTGCAGCACGTGGCAGCATTTAAAAGCATTTTTTTTTAACTCAGAAAATTCAGCACTTGAAACTGACTAATATCAGCTAAAAAGTAAAAATATGGGACTTGTGCTGCAATGTCTGAAATGTAGTCTTCATATCCAATATTTGATGGGAGAGCAACTAAAACAAAAGATTTGTACCTTATAGCTTGTTGCCGCAGCTTAGGAAACTTAGCTTCTGAAATTCCATACAGAGAAATCTCCGCACGTAAAGTCATTTAGCAAGGCTCCAATAACTCCACTGCCTATGAACTCAAAAGTTGACACGCCATCCCCTTTGCTCTGTTCCCCCAAAATCTCCAGTACGACTCCAACTAAACTATCCTCTCTGCTGGCTGAAACACCAGCAAGATAAGAACCAGAAGATTTTGATTTTCCCTTGGTTTTCACATTTTGTTAGTCAATGCCAGCATTTAGTTTAACACAGATTCTTCAAATGCAAAAGGTCATCTATAATCCCACCTTCAATGGCCTCTGGATTTGATGGGAAATATTTGTACGAGCACCAATTGTCACACAAAGCCTATAATTTAAAAAATATATATACTAGTAAGAGTGGGCTGTGCCGCCATGCACAGCCAGTGCCCATTGGAATGGATTCATTGGTAGTAATTGATGAAACAATAGCTTTTGTAGTAGTTGTAGTTATATTTTTCACAGGAAATAATAAGTTGCTTTGTTAAATTTATTAATAATCGCATTGTATAGAAGTAAATTCACATTTGTTTCTTTTTGTCTAACTTGTAAATACAAATGTGTATTGTTGGAAAAATATATTAATTTCTATAAACTTTAGAATGTTTTTGGTTTTAATTATGTTGTATTGGTGATAAGTTATTGAAGGAGAAGCTACACACCTTTTAATCTCTGTTTTACGAAAATTACTAGGAAGGAAGCTATGAGAACAAATAAAATGAATAAAAGCTTATGAATTTTAATCTACTTTGTCAAATGTAGCCTCTTGATTTAAATGTAGTCAATGATTAGTAAACCACTCCATTGATTCATGATCTAATCTAATGGTGAATGTATGATGAAAGTGCAAAGAACAATTAATCAATTGGTTGAAATTTATACAAAAAACAACCCAACTCTTAGGTAAATGGTAAATATCTAATCATAACAAGTCATTGAAAGAAGTAAAATAGTGGCCTATGATTTGCAAATATTGTTTGTACAAGAAGAAAATGGAAACCAGGAATGATATGTATAAAAGAACGGCCAACAGTTTTGAATTTTACCAAAATGCATGAGTAAGTTGTCTGACCATTGAATGATCTAACGATTACGAAAGGAAATCAACCAACTACTGTAAATCTAATGGTCCAAAGTTAAGCAAGATATCAAAATTCTTTCAAAAAGGAGAAAAACCTCAAATAAATAAAAACCTTAAATTTTGCTTTGTGATTAAATACGGCGTGGCTAAAATAATTCTTAGACTAACTGTTTTATTTTAATTATGGAAAATAGACTATATACATCTTCCCTAGCACAATGCTTTATAGTTTTATTGCAATAAAAATCGTTTTTTCCACATTCCTTTTTAAATATTTATTAGATATATGATTTATACATCTTAATATTTTTACCACACCGTAAAAATATATATTTTATCATATTTTTTCCAATAAATCCCAGACAAATAAAAACCTAAAAATTGCTTTCTAAATGAATAAAGCTCATAACTGGCATATTTGTTTTTATTTTTATGCCATCCGTTAAATTATCTCTTACCCAATTTCTTTGTAATATGAAAAATTTATCAATTTTTGTATCTTTTCTTGCCACTAATCCCAAAGAATAAGGAGGGTGTTTATAAAATTAAATAACATTATAAATTGAAGCAGGGGATGCACTTATATATTGATACGAATCCGCCCGAAGGTAAGAACTCGTATTCAACCAATCCCTAGATCTAGACGAAGAACGCAAGTTGGAATGCGGAACCTTGACCCTTCTAAAACCACAAGTCACAAACCAAGACAAAGCTCGACCCACAAATTTAGTATTTTTAGTGAACCAAAGATATTGGTAAAAGAATGCCACAACCAAGGTGTTTACTTGATTGATATGCTCGGATTGAATAACTTAAGAAAACTCTTAAGTATTAAAGGGAAGCTCTCTTGGACAAGAGAAAGTGAATAAACTCACAAATTTTATTGTAAAAACTGATTAACTAAAATTATTGGAACAGACTAGGCTATTTATAGCCTTACAATGACTCAAACCTAAAGTTATTTGGACTTAGCTAAACCCTAAAACTAATGACTAGAGTTCGGCTAAAATAAGGACAATGTTGGCCGAATTATTAAGCTTAAAATTAACAACTAAAACAGGGAGATAAATGACAAATAAACCCTTGCTTAACAAGACTACCCAAATGACTAACTAGCTAATCAACTTGCATCCGAATTAATCTTCACCCGACTCTTCAACTTGGAGCAAAGCGTAAAGTGTTGATGTGAAGACCCGAAAATTTTCTTATTTATCGAATATTACAAGTTTACTTAACTATTTATTTACTCATTTTCTCCGAATTATTTATTTTGACCATTTAAAAATCCAATTATATGGAACAATGCCTCTTTTATATTTTAAAACGTTTTGTTGGAAAATTCACTTTTCGAAAATTCGTTTAGTTCGGAATAACGAGCACACGTTTTTCGAGGCTATCCTTGAATCGGGAGTGTATTAATATTGGAGAATTAAGAATGATCAATAGTAGATTAAGAAAGGTTAATCGATGAATTAATACTAGACTCCTGTGAGGACTCGCAAAAATTTATTATTTTAAATTCCTATTTCGAGTTTATTTGAATATTTAATTGCCCATTTATTCGGAATATTATTTTCTAACCTCTTTAGACCTAATTACATGGGTTTATAGTTTCGTTGTATTTTAAAAGTGACTTGTGTCAAAATTTAATTTTTGGAAACTCGTTAATTGAAAATAGTGAATACGCGATTGGAATCAATAATCGATTCAAGGATACCGTAAGTTGGGAAAATTGGAGACTTGTATAATGGTCCTAAGATAGGTATTTTATGTTTAAATACTTAAGTGATAGTTATTAGTATTATCGTTATAAGAATTTCTTGAAAGTTTCATTTTATCGCACTTAATTTGGAGATATGCGTTTTTACACGCGCGATTTAATTGAGGGACTTTAGACCCTTATTTTGGGACAATTAAGAGTAAATAATATTAATATGATTATAAGTATATTGGAGGTTTAGTGCACTAGTGAAATGAATGCGAGAGGAATCGAGCACAAAACGAGCGCGTACGCGCACTATTGAAGAGTTGACTTTTGCACCAATTCTAGCCACACAAATGAAGCTTTCTTAGGAAGCCAAATTAGATCAAAACACTCTCTCTCTTCCTCACAAAGTGGCCGGCCATCAGCTGCAAAAATAACCCAAGGAGTTCTTCATTTTTCATCTCTAAATCTTGCACAAATCATCTCCAATTCCTTCCAAATTTCACACACACTTAGCTTAATACTTGGAGATCATCTTAAGCTACAAAAGGGGGGAGTTTTTCACGGTTTTCTTGAGCTAAGAGAGGGCCGAAATTCTGCCCTTGTTCACCAACACAAGTAAGTGACGATCAACCCTCAAATTCTTGGCCTATGGAAGTTGATTTACACTTATGAGCTTAGATATCCATGTGGGTGGCTTGTTATTGTTGGAAAATTTTGAATGTGGGCTCTATGAACCCCACTCTTGGATTGATGGCTGATGTGATGTTTGATGATAGATTTAATGTTGGTTGAGTGCTCAAATTGGTAGATTAATGGTGCATAGCTAGTATAAGCTTCAAGGAGGTGCTTGGGGCAAAAGTGACCATTTTACCCCTGCCTTGTCCGACCACTTTTGTGTAAAATTTTGAGATTCTAATGGCTTGATTATGTTTTTTACATGTTATATTGGTTGTGTAAAAAGTTTCATTGAAACATAACTTGATTTGGTCACCCAAATGTTGGATTTACGAAAGCTTAGAAATCTGGAAACTAATCCCGTATTCACCCAGGCAGTGTTTTTGTTTTGACTATATCGTTTTACTCCGATGTCAGAATCGAGTGCCGTTTGTGGCAATGGAAACTAGACATTCCCAGCTTTTCAATGGTATAAAAATCACATTGTGGTTCCATTTGAGTGAGCCAAACTATTCGTTTCAAATCCACTGTTCTGTTTCGTTACTTCCTGGAAGGCTGCACATGAGCTGCCAATTGATGCTCACAAATGAGCTATTTATGGACAGATTTTGAAAATAGTTTCTTCTGAGAAAATATATCCTTGTGAGTCTATTTTCT